CTGGTGCTCCATCTGCATCGGGATGTGTTTGCTAAAGCCAATTGCAGCACAAAAGGTGCAGTTGTAGCCAAGCCATTCTCAAACCTGGTCCCTTCCCCCCTCCCCATCTCTCCCCTCCAACACACATTTAATTTTTAGGAGATGGTGCAGCTGGAAGGAAGAGAGAAAGCGAGGAAATGAGATGAGGAATAGTGTGCAGCTCCCCTTTACCCTCTGACAAAACCCAAGCCCCACTTTAATGAATGCGTTTCCATGTCTGGTCCTCTCTGCCAATCCTTCCAGACGGCTCCAAGGTGCTTCAAGGCAAGGCAGCAGGTCCTTGTAGAGCATGGAGGGCTCAGGCTGAGCCTGGAGGGTCTTGTTGTGGCCGATTCCACCTAATCCTGTTGATTAATTTAACTCCAGGGCTAAGAGGAGCCCAGAAGCAGTGAATGGAGAGGAGAGAGGCAGAAGGGGTGGAAAGGAAGTAGAGGAGGGAAGGGAATGGGGAGAGGGAGGAAACATCCAATCTGTAATTACTGAGGGTTTTCTTGGTCCTTTCCTCCAGCTCCACTTTCCTTCTGCCCCTTTCAAACCCCCCCAAAGAGCTCTCTCTAATGGTACCCAACCTGAGCTGGCAGCATTACTGAGGAATGTGAGCTTGTGGGAGGTAAACTCCACATTTCCTCGGGCCAGAATGGCTCTCAGAATGCGCCCAGGCTTCTCTTTGTCACCTTTCCCGTGCCATCCTGCACTCAGCCCTGCACACGAGCTCTGCCCACACTCCTCTCCACGGGCAGAAAGAACCACTGGGGTTCATTCCACTTCCCCAGCTCACTGCAGAGCAGAACTTGACACTGGTCCACACAAACCCTCGACAAGTCCCTTCACGTGGCTATTCCTCCCCTCTGGCACGAGCCACGTTGTACCTCTGCTCCAAGAAGGTGCCTGTACATTGGCACAGTTCCTCGGGAGAGGAGGGAAGGGCTGATGAATTTTCCTACTGGCATCCCTGCTTTCACTCCCATGATGAAGTCTGCCTTTTTATTTCCAAAAGTATTGTAAAGCAGAGAGGTTTGAGCAGTTTGTTTTCTTTCTGAGCTACAGAGCAGCTACACTAAAAAATAAAGGTGGAATTGCTCTTAAATATATAAAATCTAGTGGGATGAGTGCATATGTAACACACATGCCTTTCCTTAAGTTTTTTCCTTTTCTCTGACTTGTTCTGCTGTGAGATTTTTTTTTCCCCTGCATTCACCTCCCCTTTCTGCTCTTTCCTGTCAGTCTTTCCCAGTGTGATTTCCTGGGGGAGCTCCGTGGTGGACAGATAGCTGGTTCCCATCCTTCATCACAACTGCTGATTGGAAAACCACCCAAGAAGCTGCTTCTAGATATTTCTTCACCTTCTTATTTATATTGTTGCTTGTGCTGAGTAAGTGTAAAATGCTACCAGCTCATGATTATTCCTACAGCAATAGTCCCGTTGTGCTGGGGGCTGGAATCTGGGATTTCCTCTGCTCACAGCCTGTTTTTCACACAGGGATGTGTTGCAGAAAACGAAGTGTTTAAATTTTGTGTGAATCCCCAGCAAGGGAGCCTCCTGCAGTTACTCTTGCAGCTTTTGAAAGCTTCGAATTGCGGGAAATCTCTGTGGAGATTGTGCCAGTGGTTTGTCCAGGGTATTTCAGCCATTCAGGAAGGGCAAAGACCTGCTGAGTGGCACGTTAGGCAGGTGAGGGACACTGTCCATGATAACAGGGATGTGTTGTGTAACAGGCTCGACCAGCCCATCCCAGCTGGAAGACTTTCTCTGTTCTCCCCTGGTTCCCTGTCTGACAGGAGCAGCTGTGCCCTGTCAGACCAGCTGGTTCCAGGCATATCCTGGGATTTTTCTTGCTCTCTTGGTTTTGTCTTTGTAGTCGGGTCGTTGGAGCCTTGGACTTGGCAAGAGGAGCTGTGGCCTCTTTTCCCAGCTCTGCTCCTGACTCACAGGGTGACCGTAGGTGGGCGACTTCCGCCGCCCCTGCCGCGCTTGGGAAATGGGGATAATGCCAGTTGGGAGCTGTTTGGAGGCTCAGGGATAGGGAAGTTTCTATTGCAAGGGTCAGCCTTAGCCCTGTAGACAGCACTGATGGTTGGGGGTGGCACAGGTTGCTCCTCACAGCAATCAGTCGCCCCCTCCCAAAGCTTCGTGGCCAAATCGGGGATCCTCAGTCAGGACCTTAAAACTGGTGAGGAAAGTTTGGCTGTTTTCCCTTCCAGACTTCTGCAGAGAGAAGTGAAGTGGGGGAGATGAAATAAGTTACAGATCCTTTTCTGGACTGTTTTTCCTTCGCCTGGGGAGGTACTGGGTGGCAGCAGTTGGATCAGATGAACAGATGGGCTGTAGGTAGATGGGATGACACTGCTGCCAGCTGGGCATGGGGAGGGGAGATCTCAGCCACGACCACACTCATGGCAGGACTTGCCCGTTTGGGGCTTTGGTGAAACACCTCAAACAACCATTCTCATGCTAAAGAGCTCACAGGCTGCAAGTTCCTACTAAGCGTGTGTAGTGTGGTACCAACTACACCTAGATGTGGAGTAACTACAGAGAAACAGGACATTTAAACCTGTGTATTTTCCTTCCCCTTCCTCACACTGGCTCTCTCACACCCTGCACACAAACACACTTCTGTCCTTGTTTTTTTCACATACCAAACGTTTCTGGGAAAGACACAAACTAATTAATAATCACTTCAGTGATGAACCTGAATTTACTGAATGCTATAGGTTTCCAGATGTGCTTTTGCACAGCATGGTACTCCAATGCCCAGATGTGCTTCTACCTGTTCTGAATCATCTGGGACCCAGATGTGGAGGGCTTTTATTTTCAAGTGCAGATGTTCCTTTTATTTAACACACCAGCCCTTCCCTGAAAGTGGACAAAACCAAAAAACTAGTTTAGTAACAAGTTTTTGCCACCTGCATTAACATTATCTTTAAAATGTGGGGCAGAGGCTGCTCCTCTGAGGTCAACAGCGAATTTCTCACTGATTTTGGTGAGAAACGAAGAAATAAAAGGTGATCTAAGAGATGAATGTGTGTAAAGACAGTTATGTATTTGTTGCTGAGCAGAGGTAGGAGGAAAAGCTCTCAGTGTGATGTTTTTCCGCCAAACCGAGCCACCCTCTCCCTGCAGCAGAGCTGCCCTGGCCCCGGCACAGCCGCGTTACCCGAGGCCCGACACCCTCCCCGTGACGCCCCGAGACATAAAAGCATTTTTGTTTTGAATGCAGAGGCATTTTGTGGTGATCTCAGTATAAACAAGAGAGCTCCGAGGGGATATTTGCCTCCCACTCCTCAAACTGCCGCCGCTCCCCGGCAGCTGTCGGGGCACTCACAGCTGCCGTTCCCAGCCCTGACAGGAGAGGAGGCAGATTTTTGGATGATGATAATATAGAGGCTGAAAAACACCGTGAGGGACTGTAGGGAACTTTCTCGTCAAGCTGAGCATATGGAAGTCCTGATTTAATCCCTGAATTAGCAAAGGGTCACCCAAAAGTAAAAATTACTTCCCTGTGAGCACGGTTTGACTCTGGCTCTGTGGTTCCTCTGAAAGGCAGAAGTCAAGCCTGGTAGGAAAAAAAAAATCAGTGACATTATAGAGAGTCCTGTTCTCATGAGAGAGAAGGAAGAGGTGACAGAGGCCAGATCTCTCCCCTGCCTCAAAGGTATCATCCATCAGACTGTTCCTCCCCTGCTGCCATGAACCAGTGGCACATTTCTCACTGTCCCAAAGGCAGACATGAAGCTTGGCCTCAAACAGCAACATCTGCACTGCAGGGAACTGAGAACCTGCACACTGTGCCTTGAAACACAAGATTTGCTCCATGAGAGCAAACACTGGAGTCACAACTCCGTGTTCTTGGTGTGCCCCCTCCAAAATCCACTGAAGATTTGGTGAATATCAATGCAGTGCCTTCTGCTTTATCTCCAGAGGGAAAAAATGGAGTAAAACTGGGTTTACTTATTGCAGCTGTACTTTTTTGGGCCTCAGGAGGCAACAGGTGTGGTGCCAGGCTCAAGGTAGGGAGAAGGGAAAAGCACAGGTCCAGGGAAAGTCAAGGAATAAGTGACATTGGGACAATTGGAACAAGGAATAAGTGACCAATTGGACATTGGGAAATGACTTCGATGGCATCTGAACTCTGCAGGAGTCTGGTCTTGTGCAAAACTCTTGCTGAAATGGGGGAATTTAAGAGCTGAGGTACTGTATCCTGTGGGCAGCCCAACCTCCAGGTAAAGCAGAGCTGGAAGGGTTTTTTCCATCTGTAAGAATTCCTGATTGTTCTTTTTTTTTTGCTTCCTAACATGGTTAAAAAGAGCTGAAATCTTAAACACCAACACTTGACAAAATACAGGAGAAAATGAGGCAGCACAAGCCAAAGCATTTTTATGTGATATTTTTATGTGCTTATTTCAGCTTTGACATTTTTCAGTGCAAAATGTGCACCTCTGAAACAGTAATTTCAAATTAAAAATGGACATTTCTTGAAATGAGTCAACAACTGGAAGTTCTTGCTGTGTAACAATTTGAATCCAGGACCACAAGCCACCGTTTTACTGCAAGAAGTTTTAATTTTCCCAAGTTTTCTTTGCAATGTGGGAAAAAAATAATAGTAGGGAATGACATAAGTAACATTAATCTGGCAGATGTGTCATACATGGGCACCCTGGGAGGGTGGGAGGCCCTGGCACAGGGTGCCCAGAGAAGCTGTGGCTGCCCCATCCCTGGAAGTGTCCAAGGCCAGGCTGGACAGGGCTTGGAGCAACCTGGGCTAGTGGAAGGTGTCCCTGCTCATGGCAGGTGAAACTGGACGAACTTTGAGATTCTTCCAACCCCAACTGGAGTGCCTGTGATTCAATGCTTTGTTTGGACTGACAGGAGAACCAGGATTCCCTCTCTGGGCTGTTCCACCCTTCCCTCTGTATGAACTTGAACCACCCAAACCTCACCTCCCATTCCTTTCCCACCCCAGGTAACAGATTGGACGAAGGCTCTGACGTGGAATCCGAACCAGATCTGCCCTTGAAGCGCAAGCAGCGGCGCAGCCGAACCACTTTCACTGCGGAGCAGCTGGAGGAGCTGGAGAAGGCCTTTGAGAGAACCCACTACCCCGACATCTACACCCGCGAGGAGCTGGCTCAGAGGACCAAGCTCACTGAGGCCCGTGTGCAGGTGAGGAGCAGAGTCAGCACCTGGGGAACCAGCCTGTGGAACAGCTCCTTGGTCACCCTGGGGAAGGAGAGGTGAAGGTACTGCTAGGGAAGAGGAATCTCTGCTCTAGGAGGGACCAGGGACAGCCCCCAGGGAATGGCTGGAGCTGTGTCAGGGCAGGCTCAGGGTGGATCTCAGGGAAAGGTTCTTCCCCCAGAGGGTGGTTGGCACTGAACAGGCTCCCCAGGGCAGTGGGCACAGCCCCAAGGCTGCCAGAGCTGCAGGAGGGTTTGGATGATCCTCTGGGGCACAGGGCGTGACTCTTGGGGCTGGGCCTGTGCAGGGCTGAGAATCCTTGTGGGGCCCTTCCAGCTCAGCACATCCTGTGATTCTTAGAGGGTGTTGAAAGGTGGTGACATGGACACACTTCTCCAGAGCCACATCCACAAGGATTTGAGCCTTAAATCCAGGTCTGCCTGAGCCCTGAGATGAGCTCAGATGGTCAGAGCACGATACCAATAACACCAGGGTTGTGGGTTTGGTTCCTGTGTGGGCCATTCACTTCAGAGTGTGACTCAGTGATCCTCGTGAGTCCCTTCCAGCTCAGAATATTCTGTGATTCAACACTGGACTTGATCATCCTGATGGATCCCTTCCCGAGCATATTCTATCATACATTCCCACGGATTTGCAGATAGGCCCTTTGGATTTGGCCCCTTGCAGAGGTACCAGCTTTAGGGTTTGCTCCAGGTTGGGACCAGGAGCCAAACTTTCCCATTCTTGGCAAGGCATTCAGTGCTCTGTTTTCTGCTGGAGAAAATTCCTCACTGTGCTTAGGAGGAAACAGTGTGTTTGTTTCTGGTTGGTGTTTGAGGACAAATCCCACCATTTACCAACTTCTCCCGGGGGAGCAGATCATATTTTGCAAAGTTTGCAAGTTCTGTGTGTGAATTTTCATAAAAGTTGTTGGTTTTTTTTTTCCCCTCCACCTCCAGAGAGCACGAAAAGGGCGGGGGGAGGGAAGGAGAGGGGAGGAGCAGGAAGGGAGGGTTGGGAGCCGGGGGACTCTGACATCTACACGATTAATAGCCCTTGTGGGAACTCCACACAGAGACCCTTATGTCTGCAGATAAAGGCTGGGTCAGCAGTGTGTGCAAACACGCCGAGGGATCAGGAGTGTGAACAGATCGGGGGGTATAATAGAGTCCCTTGGGGACAGGGAAGGGAAGGGGGAGGGAGTGGGGATTGTGCCGGGTTCCAGCAGTGAAATGGAGACCCCAGCAGTCCGTGTGGCCACCGCGCTGGGGCTTCACACGGAGCGCGGGGCCGGAGCCACTGCCCCGGGATGGATCCGGGCCCCGAGAGAGGAGGGAAGGAGTTCTCGAGGCTTGTGAGAGGGAAACACTCACTGAACCGGCTCCCCCCCAGCAACACTGAACCAAACAGCTCCCCCACAACAACACTGAACCAAACAGCTCCCCCACAACAACACTGAACCAAACAGCTCCCCCACAACAACACTGAACCAAACAGCTCCTTCACAACAACACTGAACCAAACAGCTCCTTCACAACAACACTGAACCAAACAGCTCCTTCACAACAACACTGAACCAAACAGCTCCTTCACAACAACACTGAACCAAACAGCTCCCCCACAACAACACTGAACCAAACAGCTCCCCCACAACAACACTGAACCAAACAGCTCCTTCACAACAACACTGAACCAAACAGCTCCCCCACAGCAACACTGAACCAAACAGCTCCCCCACAGCAACACTGAACCAAACAACTCCTTCACAACAACACTGAACCAAACAGCTCCCCCACAACAACACTGAACCAAACAGCTCCCCCACAACAACACTGAACCAAACAGCTCCCCACAGCAACACTGAACCAAACAGCTCCTTCACAACAACACTGAACCAAACAGATCCTTCACAACAACACTGAACCAAACAGCTCCTTCACAGCAACACTGAACCAAACAACTCCTTCACAACAACACTGAACCAAACAGCTCCTTCACAACAACACTGAACCAAACAGCTCCTTCACAACAACACTGAACCAAACAGCTCCCCCACAGCAACACTGAACCAAACAGCTCCCCCACAACAACACTGAACCAGCTCCCCCACAGCAACACTGAACCAAACAGATCCTTCACAACAACACTGAACCAAACAGCTCCTTCACAACACTGAACCAAACAGCTCCCCCACAACAACACTGAACCAAACAGCTCCTTCACAACAACACTGAACCAAACAGCTCCTTCACAACACTGAACCAAACAGCTCCTTCACAACAACACTGAACCAAACAGCTCCTTCACAACAACACTGAACCAGCTCCCCCACAACATGAAGGCTTTTCGTTGTCCGCGGTTGTCGGGACAGTGAGCCCGAGGTGCTCCCTCAGCAGCCAGAACCGCTGAAGGTTTTTGGTGTTTCCCCTCAGCAGTCTGGGAATGGACATTTCCCCCCACCCCTGGGACAGTTGCTGGTTAAGGACTTTTCCCATTATCCCTCTTTCCCAGTCGCAGCACTGCAGGGGACACCCTCTCACCTCCCTCCAGCTGCCTCTTGAGAGGTGCTGGATTTTCCTAAATCCATCAGCCCTCAAGATTAGGCTGTGGAGACTGGAAAGGGAAATCTAGCAAACCTTAAACTGACTGCAGTGTTGATTTTAGCCAAGAGACCATCCCAGGGTGTCCACCAGTAACTGTTAATTTGCTGACCATGTAGATCAGAGATAGATGGATCTTGGGAAAGTGGCTAATTAAGGGGACTGAGGTTGGAGCTGGAATGTCTGAATTCCTCCATTTTTGTTTTGCATATTTTGTTCTAATTGCTCTCACTTGTGTAGGTGGACAGAAGGTGTTAAGTGGGGAATAAAAATAGATGTTCCTGTGGTAAAAAGGTTTTAGAAAAGGAGTTTCAAGGGAGAACAGAGTTTAGGGAGCACCTTTTTCTGGGGAGAGGGAAACCTGTGTTGCACGAGCAGGGATGAGGGACGGTGGGGAGGAAGGGAAGAGTCCCAGAGTGCACAAACCAGAGCCAGGTTCTTTTCCGAGGTGCTCTGACCTTGTGATGGTGCTGGGAGAAAGGAAGGAGGCGAAAGCAGAGGCAGAGGAAAGCTAAACAACTAACTAACTAACTAATAACTAACGAACGAACGAACGAGAACCTTTCCCTGGTCTCAAGCTGTGATCTCCGAATCCCTCCCCTTGCTCCCAGGCAGCTTTCCTGGAGGTTCCTGCCAGGGCTCCAGTAGCAGCTGTTCTCCGAGGCACATTCCTGATGGCTTTCTCATTCCAACATCCTGGCACACTCAGCTTCTTCCCACCACTTTTAAGCCTGCCGCCCCTTGTAAAATTTTCTGGATATCAGAGCAGATCTTTTGCTGGCTCTTGGGATCTACAGACATTAGTCAATCAAGTTCTCGTGGAAAAAACATAGCCACACACACACACACACACACCCATCCAGCAGGGAAGCTTCTACCACCTTGGAGTCTGACTCCTGTCTCAACAGAGTTTTTAAGCCCAGGAGATGTGCTTTGGATTAAAAATGGCTGTAAGAACAGCAGGGCCAGCTGAGAACAGGGTTTCTGGGTGTTAACAGAGAGTTTATTTACAAGGGCCTGGAGTGAGAGGACAGGGAGAGTGATTTTAAATGCACAGAGAGGAGGTTTAGGTTGGATATTAGGAAGAAATGCTTCCCTGCGAGGGTGGGGTTGCCCAGAGAAGCTGTGGCTGCCCCAGCCCTGGAAGTGTCCAAGGCCAGGTTGGACGAGGCTTGGAGTAACCTGGGATAGTGGAAGGTGTCCCTGCCCGTGGCAGGAGGGGGCACTGGATGATATTTAAGGTCCCTTCCAACCCAAACCAGTCTGGGATTCATTCTATGATCCTCTGAAGGGCCACACCAACATCTACCCATCCATCTTGTCCACAAAACTTAAGGTGTAAAATGGGAGGCAGATGTATGAGAAGTATTTTGTGACTTATAATCACAAAAGATGCTTTAGGGCAGCTCCTCAGTGTCTGACGATTGTTTCACCCACCTTCTGGACCGCAGGGCCACTCGTGTGCTGGGCAGCCATGGCTGGACACGCCCTGGATCACAGCTCAGGTGCTTCTGTCTTACTGCACCAGATGGACACACAGCCCTGCGGTGAATCCCACTGGGATAATCACAAACAGAAATAAGTGGCATTGTCTCTCTTTGCTTCTTCCTTGTCCTCACCTCTCTTTGCTTCACCGAGTGAGGTGAAGTCACCTAAGTCTTGGTGGTTCTCCCTCCCACCTGGGTGTTCACAGACCACAGTCTCCCCATGTGAGGAGCTGATGGCTCTGTTAAACTGTCCTGGCAGATCTCAGGGCCTGGCTGGTCACAGCTGCCCAGCTAAGTGGAAGTTTGACACGTTGACAGCTAATAAACTTCACAACAAGGGGGGAGGGAAGGGGGGAAGCAGCTCCAAGCTCCGGTTTCTTGTCTGCTGGGAAGATCCGGGGGGGCTGAGCAGTGTTTTTGCGAGGCCACTGCAGTGTTTGTGTGGTTGAGGTGCAGGATTTCAGCTTTCAGACTTCCACACACCCCAAGGTATGAGCTGTTCCAAGGTTAATCCCAAGATTAGCATAGCCAGGGACAAGGCTGCCATGGATTTTGGGATGAACTGGGATCGCTCTGCCAAAGCCATGCCCAGCAAGGCCAACAGTGGAAATTCCCACTGATTTTTGTGCAGGGCAAAGCCTTGACTCATGTGGCCACACTAATTGTCCAGGACTGAAGGAATTCTTGCCCATTTGCAAGTTCCCATTTCCACCCTTTCAGAAAACAAGCTGGTGGATGCCAAGCATTCATGGAATTAAAAACTAAGTCTAACAGCTAAATAATTCACTCAGTAATTTAATGGGAGCTTTGATTTTGATCTTGGATGTATTTTGGTTTTTTACACCAGTTTTTGCAATTATCTAACTGATGATGTCAAAGTCTTTATGTGGGAAAAAAA